TTCATCATTTTAAATAACGAAAAAAATGTGCGATTAATGTGAATTTTATATGGAAGATAGAGAGTGATGATGAATTTTTTTTCTTAATCTTCAGAGGAAAATTTCACGGAACCACGACCAGATCAAGTGATCCGACGTGATAATGTTCCACTCCAGCAGGTGTGGAACCGACCTTTCGAGAGTTTGTCGATTACATGATCGATACTGATCTAGGAAGTTATGGCGATGATCACTGGATGCCGTATTATCTTTATTGCACTCTCCTCCCTCGTCAAGTATGACATTATCGCGAATGTGAGTGTCCGCGAAACTCACGTATTCATCGTCTGTATATTTAACATTAAACATTTCTTCTTCGAATTTTTTTATAAATTTTTTTTTAATAAAAAAATTCTTGCTCCAAATTAAATTTTCTGTAAATGTATCATAATTTTGTAGGTGGAATCGCTGTGGCGAGATCAAGTGTACGCGATCAATAAGTTGGGATTGCAGGACAAGATTAAGCCTAGATGGAGGCATAGTAATGGTCACGTCACGCTTCCAGGATATACTTCGTCGTCAATTAAACGGAGCGACTGTGCGAAAGCTTTACGAGAAGCTAAGACTGGACTTCGAGCTTTCGATTACTCGCCCGATATTTATTACGAGTACGCCACGTCCACGGATTAATTCAAAGTCCGATCGAATGTAAATCGAGGTCACACATCTCCGCGCGAAGCTCTGCACTATAGCGTCTAGCGATCTATCTGTATGACGTAATTTTCTAATAACGACACATAAAGTGCCGCGATATGATGCTTGATATGAAACAAGTTCTTCGTGTATATGAGATTAAAAAAAGAGGAAGAAAAGATACGTTAAGGGTCTGTGTACGCGCGCACACGTAACCCCGATAATTGATGGAGCTTAAATCACGTTACGTCACGCGACGAAATTTTGTCGACGAGAATCGATCGACCTACTTCTCACCCGTGTACTAATGTATCGGACCGGCGCGACCTGTCCTAAAGTCAAGGTCCCCCGAATGAGCATGTTAATCCTCGCCGCGAGTCCCAGAAGCCGAGCGTTACCCTGCCCTGGCGGAAATGATACCAAATTTTCGCGTAAAAAGACATCAATGTCTTGAGATACATTAATAAATACGGATATGATATATTTAGTTATATATTTGCACTTTATATATTGGCTATCATAATTCGAAAATTAATTACACAGAGAGAATTTTTCTTTTTAGAATTTGCCCTGAAAATTATGGGACAATATTTATAGAGTTCTCTGATTAATATTTACTATAATAAAAATATTAATATTTACCACAGTAAGATATATAATATGTTCGATTAATTTTAACATGTATATAGTAATATTTACTATGCACATATTAATATTTTTTATTACGTAAACTCTAAGAGGAAATTCTCTCGAATTTCATGCACGAATAAATCAATTATTCTCGTCCTCGCTTTAATATCGTCAATTTAACTTGACTTAATTATATATTATTTGAGAAATTTTTATAGAAATTTAAAAAATGTATATAATTTGCTAATTATTTTTTAGAAATATCTTAAGAAAGAACTATGAAAGACATCTCAATATGAAACCGTAAAAGTCTAACTGTTGCAAACTTTTATAAAAACTTTTATAAAAAAATTAATTATATAATATATATATATATATATATATATACATAATTTTACATAATACCTTAATATAAAATATTTGGTGTACTTATATTAACTTCGAGATTATTCGGAAATGATTTTGCTTTCTGAATCCACTCACCTTATTGTGCAGATCGTCCAGCACCTCTTGACCGACCACCCTAATTCCTCCCAGCTAGGTTCTCGCGGTTTTCCCTCGCCCTCGCTGCTGCTGCAAGTGACACTTCCGTTCCCCTCCGACGCGCTCTTCCGGTCGCCGGAGCATTGACCGCTTCGTCCCCTTCGTCCTTCGCCGTCGTCGAAAATGCGCACGTCCTCCCGTTCGTCGTCGACGAAATCGCCGCCAACCAGGCGATCTATTCGCGCCTCGCATTCGCCGTTAATCGGCGACCCGAATGGCAGATTGTTGGAAAAATCGCGGGTAAAATTGCTCTGCTCGATCGATGCCTTCCGAACGTCTTCATTCGAGCGTCCTCTCTCCATTTCGTCGTCCTTATTTTCTTCAGTCGTCTTCGAACGACTTGGATTCAACAGCTTTGTCGGCGATGAAGTCTTCTCTCGTCGCGAGGCGGTTTCGGAAACGCTTTCATCGATCACGTGATTTCCTTCAAGGATCGTTTGTTCTCCCCTTAATGATGCATTCTTCGGGGTTGCAACTTGAGCTGCCTTGGACACGTTATTTTCATTATCCTTGATCAGTTTATCCTCTTTATTCGCTGAATACAAAGTTGTTTGAGCTAAAGCAGCGTCTTCCTTCCTCGACGTCTCGTTAACTTCTTTCGAACTATCATTCACCTTGGAAAAAGCTTTATCCTCCAAAACTGCTTCGCCGCTTTTCCTATCTTTTTTACTTCTCTTAGCTTCTTCCGTAGAATCGATAACGATGAGAGGACCGTCCGTTCGTGTGAGGATACTCTTCTTAGGACTCAGTTGCGCGTTGTGAGTGTATTCTCTCTTGGGGCTGCTGGATGCCGACCTGGAAACCCTCTTCGATCTTCGTTTCTCTCCCGCGTAGGGACTACAGGGCTGCGACGATGGTCGTCTCCGATTCGTCGTTTCCGGCATCTTGGTAGCTGGCGATACAGGAAGCGGGATCCTCGTCTTAGGTGTTATCTCGATCGATTCCGTCTCGTCGCTGTCGGGTGTCCTCAACTTGACGATCTCGCCGCCGAAGCGGACGCGTCTCGGCGTCTTCCGTTTATCCGAGGAGGCCGAATTCCCGCTCTCATCCTCCTCCTTTTCCTCCAGGATCGTCATCGTGATGGCCGTCTCTTCGTTGAACTTGATCTCGGTCTCCAGAACAACTCTCGCTGGTGGTATCGCGCCTTCATCCTCTTCTTCAGCAATACCGGAAGTGTCGCTGTCGCTGTCCCAGCTCTTGTCCAAGGTACGTTCCTTCGTGTCGGGTTTGACGATATCCCGCGCGCGATTTCTCTCTCGCTTCTTCTTGGTCGTTGGCTTGATGTTGTAAATCTTGGAGAGAACGTCGATGTTCTTTTTCAGCTTGTCGTCGTAATCCGCCAGGTAGCTCTCGAATTCTTCGTCGCCGACCTCATCGCGAATCTTCATGAGGGATTTGAGAACGGCCTCCTGGTGCGGTACCTGGACCAGTCGTGCGGCAAAGGCGATCGTGGCGTCTTTCAGGATCTGCGTGGTCGGTGGAGGACTGTCGGAGGATGGAAAAAGCAGCAGCGGAGCACTCAGAATCACCCCCGTTGTCACGTTCGTCTGAAATGGATTGTGAGCGTCCGGTCGATTCAAGCCGTCGTGAAGGATCTGTAACGAAACGAATTTTGCATTTAATTTTTATTCACAATTATTATTGTTAGCTATCCAATTATTGTTTAACTTAACTTAATCTTTAATTTGATTTTAATTTCATATTGAATATTAGAGAAAATAGAAAAAAAGCTTCTTTTTCAGCGCATTGCGGCTATTTACGTTTTTGACCACGCTGTCTTTGTTGGGGGTGTGAATGAGGTAGACCCGCAGCGCGTCCAAGGCGCCCTTGCGTACCGCCGGCGCTGGATGCCCCAAATTATTGATCAGCTCCGGCACCACCGGTTGCATGACCTTGTCAACGACATCGGCATTCAGCGTCGGTAGAACGTCCATTAGCACTCGCAGAGCGTGCTGGCGCACCTCCCATTCCGGGTCTCGAAGTCTCTCGGAGATCTCAATGAAGGTGGCCTGAGTGTCGATCTCGGATGGAAACCTACGCGTTCGCACCTGGCCGGAAAAACCGCGAATTGCAAATTTCAATTATATCTCCAATAAAAAACCAAAGTGCTTCAATTTTAAGAATTAAAAAATACAAGCATAAAACATGAAATAAAATATAATTAATATAATAAAATATATAATAATATAATAAATGTAATTATATATAAATTATATATAATTATATAACACATATTATATATAATTATAAATAATTATGTATAATTATATAAAAAAATATTATTATATAATAAAATATGATTAATTTAATATATTTGATCTCGACGCGTACTACGTGTTCCCAGAGTGGAGTCAGCTGTATCGTTTGTCCGGACGGCGGAGCGGACGTCATCCGACGTCGTAACTGATGACGATGACGACAGCCTCGCCTCGCCGACGAGCCATCGCCCTCGGACAAGGGTCTAAGGTCGTAAGTCGATGGCGGCACGGGATCTTCCTGGGGCTGCAGCGGCCCCGCATCTGTCGAGCCTGTCATAGATGACGACAAGCAGCCGGACATATCCCCCTACGTCTCGTCCTTCAGGAACCACCGATTATCCCTCATCATCTCCCGCGATCGCGAATCCGACGACGCCTGATCGCTCATCGATGCTTCCGGTGTACATATACACACATAAATCGCACATGCAAGTCACTGTGCTAGAAATTGCATATGAACAAGAGCACGATTTTTTCAGGAGGGGACATTTCAAGTAGCAAACTGACGCCATTAGACGTTAAATAACGTCATTTTGACATCTAATGACGTCATTCGATGTCAAAATGATATATTTGAGATGATTCAAAATACTTTCAGTTATTCACAGAATTATAATACTTATAGAATTTGAAATTTTTAAAATGTCTTTTTTTAAGGAGAAATATTCAATTTTTTGCTGATTCCAGGGAAGGAGGCAAATATCTCCTCTTACCTTTCCCTCTGTGCATATAAAGTCGTATAAAATCGCTCTATGATATCGATATATATATTCACTCGTATTTTCTATCGTAAAAACCTTTACCTTTGAACTTCAAATTAATATTTGCATATATTTTTTCACTCGTGGTTTATATTAACATATCGCAAAAAAAGCCCGAGCTTTAAAACTGAATATCAATAATGATGATAACGGTTTATGCAAGGAAGGAAGGAATAGATCGATTCTTTCTACAAAGTTAATTAACTAGGATTGTAAAGACCGGATATGCTGACATAAGGGTATGCCAATTTAACGATCGACACGTAATGCCGAAGTTCTCATATATTCCATCGTGTTGTTCCAAATTGCGGCAAATATGCAGTTTTATTTTCTACGTAATAAATTTTTAATTTTTAATTTATAATTTATAATTTTAAATTTATAATTTACACACTTTGCACAAAATATAAAATTGTCAAATATAAACAATCTTGTTAATGTTTACAAAATATAAGAATGAAACTAAACGCTCTGTCGTGTTTGCAGGTGTACGAGATTGTGACGTCAAAAGAGCGGGAAACCGGAAAGGGAAAACATGCAACTTGCCCGCGCAAATCGCGCATTAAAATTTAATTTAAATATTCTAACATTTGATATTAATATTCGAACGCGAGATGTCAAGTCTACTTCCTCCTAAACATCCGTCGAAGCTTATTCCGCGATTCCTTATTTGCGACGACTCTGCCCGGAATCAAGAATTGGCGAATGATTGACGTTTGTTTTGCTTCCGGCATATCGAGAGAGGCGCGATTGACGTTACAAAAGACAGTCAAACAGGTCGGGAGCGATTACTTTCGAAGCAAGATATGCATATTTCACGGACGAATAGATCATAAATAAGGAAGACTGATCAAAACACGTCAGCCGCACGAGATGTCATTCATCGTTTCGTGTCATGAGCTCGCTGTATATTCATATCCGCGATTTATGAGATGAGATTTCCGTCTCTCCTCTATTGTCGAGAGATAATAAATGTTCGAATAATTTAAGATTGAATAAAATATATATATATATCGGGACGACATCGCGCTCGGCACGTTATATTGGTATTTTTTTTTTTAACGTTAAAAGTCTCGCAAGAGGAAAACCGCGAAGTTTATCATTAAATCTCTCACGACACGAAACTCTCAAGTAAAAAAAGTAGTACACACGAAAAGCGATTGCATAATTCGAAGAAAGAACGTGCGTATTTTTAAAATATATTATACATGCGCTGGCTCAAAATTGTGGGAGACCAACGAAATCACGCTTGATAATGATTATAATAATCATAAATTTTAGTCAAATAAATGTGTATTTTACTAATATTAATCGAGAGATGAAACTGATAATCTACTATTTTAATAAATTTGTAAGAATCAACAAAAATTTGCAAGATAATAAACTCGACTGTATAATTAATTATTATCTTTCTATCCTTTTTAATCCTAACTATTTAAAATTTTAAATTAAAGAATTAAAATTTTGGAAAAACAGGGAAAAGGTCTAAAGACTTTGGAGATATTCTTTGATTTTTAAAGATTTAAACTCGATTTAACAAAAATCATTTATTTAAATTTTATCTTTTATATCATATGTATAGTTTTCGCAAAATATTTAGCGTTACAGAAACAAAACATATTTTTATGTTATATATAATATAATACTCATGTGTGTGTGTGTGTGTGTGTGTGTGTGTGTGTGTGTGTGTGGACAATATTGTAAATCTGTATGTTTTAAAAATTCAAAATTTTTTTATATAAGGAAAAAAGAGAATAGAAAGACAGAAAAATACATAAAACTAAATTAGTTAGCACATCAAATCGAAGAATATTAATATTAATAAGAAATATACAATTTTAATATGCATTAAAAAGTTATGGAATTTTCATGTGACTTTTCAATTCGACGATGAAAAAAATTGTAACTTAATTTAGTTTAAGGAAAATTATTTTTTTACATCTCTTTTATAAAAATTTATAGGAACCAGTGCACTTTAATATGAATTTCATACAAGACCACTTGAAAACTAAAGCTAGGTAACGAGAATTATTTAAAAAATATTTCAGATATATAAATAGCAATCGAAAAATTGAGTGTAAATATCTGAAAATGTTACTCAAAATGTTACTTTCCTCTTCTCGCTATCGTCAAATCTTTGGCGAATTATTGTGATTAATATTTCGAACAGATATGAGAAAGAGCGCTTATTTGATAGATAAGTATGAGAAATATTTTTAAAAAATATTTCAGATAAAACAGCAATTGAAAAATCTATTGTAATATCTGAAAATGTTGCTCGAAATGTGACTTTTCTTCTCGCTATCGTCAAATCTTTGGCGATATTATTGTGATTAATATATTAAATAAATGAGAATGAGAGGAAGCGCTTACTTTATTAAACAAGTATAATGAGAAATAAAAAAATTTCAAGTAAAATAGCAATCGGAAAATTGATTGTAAATATCTGAAAATGTTGCTCGAAATGTTACGAACTTTCGTTCTCGCTATCGTCAAACCTTTGACGATATTATTGTGATTAATATTTTGAACGGATGAGAAAGAGAGCAAGTGCTTACTTGAAATAAGTATAATGAAAAATATTGAAAAAAAAGTTGAGATGAGAGAGAGAGGAAGCGCTTACTTTAGATGAAGCAGCGGAGAGACGCTCCAGTACAAATAAGCGAGTACACTCGACCGCGGCCGGCATGTGACTAACTTCAGCCACCGCGGTTCTCCGCGAGGTAAGGTGCTTCGCGGAGTTAATATCGACCACCCCCGTCCATCCCCCGCCTCGCACTTTGGCGAGAATCGTCTTATACTTTACAGCGAGCGATAGCGTCGCATATACAAGTGCCTGGACGCAAGATATATTGCAAAAATAAATTATTACCCCAAACTATCTTCTTCTTCGTATGAAAAGATAAAGTCTCGTGGCGGGAGAAAAGTTTGCGCGCGCTTTCGCGCCGCGATCGATTAATTATTTTTATACCTTAATGGCGTGTTAATGGATTATATTTTAATGCTATGTTAAGATCGATGATGAAAACGCAGATAGATGAATGTGCGGACGCGACATCGATAATATTTTGTTAAAAGATGTCATATATTTGATTAAATTTTATTACGTTTAAATGTTGTGTATATATATCCCCAGGTAGAATATAACATTCATGACGTCATAATAATTTTATTCATCACTTAAAAGTTATCTTGACAAAAATGATAAAAAAATTATTTAAAGTTGACAAAAGGAATTATAGATTTAAAAGCTCCCTAATATAAGATATATAATCGCTTTATATAATTCTCAAAATTTTGTTTTCCAAAATGACTTAAGTGACGTCATTATGCCATTATGTTCTACCTGGCGCCATCGCGCGCGTCTCTTTTAGACGGTAAAATTCTTTGGTTTAATGATGAAAACAAAGCACGTGATTCTGTATATATATTCGCGAAGTTACTGAAGATTTGACGAACTATAGCTTACTTGTCCAATATTACAACGCGTCAATCTTGCTTTAGACTCTGATTAATCGTTTCATTATTCAGTTTAAGTCGAGCTTCTCCCCTACGACCTATCAGGGAGAGACGTTTTTTATGCCTACAAGTTCCCCCTGCATAACACCATCTAAATGACATCCCGACAACGTAAGAGAACCGAGAAATATTTATCTTGACGGAGTATACAAGTCGTAAAGGTTTCTGTGTATTACAGCAATAAAAGCTACGACTATATATGTCAATGAATGCCCGAGGCGGCACGCGATATTCATGAAATTGAGCACCGACAATATCGAAATTCCGCTACAGTATATAAGCCAACGCGCTACACATATACATATATTTACAAACGTGATTATAGAGAAATGATTCGAATAAATGAGGTTTACGGCGAATGTAAAAACATTGGACCGTGACGTGGTTGATCGATTCCGCTCGGAAAGGCCCGGTTCGTATCGCGCGGAGTCTCTTATCGGACTCATTTATGCTATTAGCGGTACACCCGCATATACATCATTGCAATACAATCTGTTGATTTTACCGTTTTCTTGGAGAAAAAAAAATCGTCTAACGTGACAAAATACAAACTTCTTTTACGATCGATTCGCTAGAGTCTTTAAAGATTTTTCGCATAATCTGAATCGAATAAAAATGGACTATAAAATTAATGCCGCAAATTACTAGAAAATTAAGACTGAGGAAAGCAGGAAGAATATATGCATTCATAATATAAAATAGAAAGTTGCATTGAACGCACGAAAAAATATAAGGACTATGGAAAAGAAAGAACAGATAATAATCCTTAAGGTTCGCCAGTAATAATTAATAAAAATCTTTCCTCAATGGTAAAAGAAAGAACTTAGTTTCTTTTTTTTCGAAATGTAATAAATATACAGTATTATATACATTGTAAAAACGGATATTTTCACGCAGTAGGAAGCTTGGTCAGTGTATCCGCGTATTGAAACTCTGAACTATTTTCGTAATCACACATGTCCAAAGCGATAACGCAGCTTTCGTGAACGACTCTTTTACTGTCATTGAGGTATTTGTTCAATATCTTGTAGCACTCAGGAGTGGCAATGGAACCCAAGGCTTCCGCGCATTCATGCCTGACCATCTCGTTTTCTTCTGTATTTTCTAATGATGCTCGCAATCCTGGCACAGATGCCTCTTCTTGAAGTTGTCCCAGAACAAACGCTACCTCATGTTTGAACAAAGCACTACCAGCTTTCAAACCTGTATCACATAAAGGCAAATGATTAATTATTACTCCATGCTTACTACCTTTCCTTATATTGGAACAATATAATTTCTTACCTTGGTAAGAGCAAGGATGCTTTCCTTGGTGCCTAAATTTCTCAATGAAAACATTGCCCTGTATCTATCAAACAATGACTTGTTTTCATCTAATAAAATTTCTTGTAAATTATCCACATTTGTTATATCAGCCGGAGGTGCTGGATCGACAGTCGAGTATGGATTATTTTGTAAGTTCTCTGTATTAGTATTAGATTCCAACCACTTCAATCGATCCAAGGCCAACTCACAGGTTTCTGCTACCTCTGGTACAGGATCTTTGCGATATTTTTCCAATAATGGAATTACACTTGGCTCACCAATAGCACCTAATGCCTCTCCTGTATAAATCACATTAATTTTTTATCAATTCCAAAACAGGCCACTAATTAAGTGACATACCAAATACACACATACCTGCTTCATGACGTACCATAGGTTCTTGTGACAGATCTTCCAATACATTTGTTAAAATGCTAATCGCTTTAGGATCCTTCATCTGACCCAGGCAATATGCAAGCTCATGCTTTAACAGCGCCGATTCGTCCTTAAAGCATCTACTGATCTGATTTATTGCCGTTGCACCACCAATATTCTTCAGGGTAAATAACGCTCGGAATCTTTCTTTCAAAGGCCTGGCAGAATCATTCAAGACTCCGCCTATGGTTAAAATAACGCTCTCACTTGCTCGTACCATTTTCAGTAATGTTTATTAAATGGTGAATATTAAAATCACCAACATAAAGGAAAACAATTTATGTACAGATTTACCTTAAAAATAATATATATAAATCAGTAATCATAAAAATAAAATTACCGGTAATTTTAACCTAAATCATATAATATATAACACAAATATGTTTAAAAATTGATAAATATTTGTGTGATTTCTTACCATATCAAGTAAAATTTATAACTGGACGTTTGCCTGTTTTAATGAGATAAATAAATGAATGCAATGTTGTAATTAAAAATTATAGTTACAATAATACTTCACGTGATCACAGATTAATAGACAGATCGCCAAAGGTCTGGATGCAGTGTTGTTAGACGGGCTAGGTTTTTTCGCGCATGCGCATTGAATGTAGTATTAATGAAGTAGTCACTCGCATGAAATGGGGTCCTGATTTCCCCCTCTGTTTAATTTTTCTTAAATTATTGAAAATTTTTTAAAATAATTAATGAATCGTATAATTTTTATTATAAATATAATAAATTTAATTAAAAATGTTAAATATAAACATACAATAAACAAATAATGAAATTATAAAATATATACATATACGTGTACCTATGTTATAACATACGTAAATTACGAGTTTAGTTTTTATTTATACAATTTATAATTTGAATTATTGATTAATTTTAATATACATAAATTATAATAATACACTTTTATATTACATATATTGTAATAATTTATTTATTTTTACGTACGTTCAATTTATCTGTTTCCTGCGATTCCGCCAAAACTCCGTGGTCCAGGGTTTTGGTCCGTAGTTGCGCGCGCAAACATCATACGTTACTGTAGTCGTCATGGTTACGTCACGGTAATACGCGCATGCGCGAAAAACCTAGCCCGTCTAACAACACTGTCTGGATGAAGGAGAGACCAGCATTTCTCACTGATTTCAGCGCCATATCGTAGTAGTAGTCAATGCAGTAACTATTAATACGTTCCCAAGATAAGAGCGTCTCATGCTCATGAACTCGTCCGGCGGCATGTACGAGATTTATCTTTTCGTAGCGTTCGCGTATTTCGGAAAGGACAGAATTTTATGATGTTATAAATAAATAAATAAATAAAATATTAACCTGACCTATTATAATTATTTTTTAATAAATGTTTCATTATTATTATCATCTAAGTCTAAGTCGTTTAATTAATTTTTAGTTTTTTAATAATTAATTTAATTTATTCTAATCATTTTAATATGTGAAAAATACTAATACGTATACGTTTTATAATGAATTAATATATTTCGAGAGTCGAATTATATATTTTTAATAATATAAAAGTGTTCAAAAATTATATTTGACTTTTAATTTTAATTATTTTAGCAAAGAGTTCCGAAATCTCTTACACACATAATAGAGATTTTGTTCATCCATATAATTCGCAATTAAGTATATATGTTAATTATTAATTTTAATAAAATACAAAATTAAAATTAAAGGTCAAATATAATTTTTGAACATAAATATATTATAACGTATAAGACGGGCAACAAGAGCCAAATCGCGGATGACAATGCGTTATCCTAACGGAACTAAATAATTTTTCGTTAGAATTAAATACCGGTGCACAAGGCACCAAATTTTTACTTCCCACGGCCAAGAGCGTCTCATGCTCATGAACTCGTCCGGCGGCATGTACGAGATTTATCTTTTCGTAGCGTTCGCGTATTTCGGAAAGGACAAATTTTATGATGCAAGAGAAAAATATAAATCCGAATATTAACCTGACCTATTATAATTATTTTTTAATAAATGTTTCATTATTATTATCATCTAAGTCTAAGTCGTTTAATTAATTTTTAGATTTATATTTTTAATTTAATTTATTTATTCATTTTAATATGTGAAAAATACTAATACGTATACGTTTTATAATTAATTAATATATTTCGAGAGTCGAATTATATATTTAAAATATAAAAGTGTTCAAAAAAATTTTGACTTTTAATTTTAATTAATTTAGCAAAGAGTTCCGAAATTCTTAGGATAATAGCATTGTTCATCCATATTTCGCAATTGTTATATGTTAATTATACGTTAAATTTAATATTAAAATTAAAGGTCAAATTAATTTTTGAACATAAATATATTTAATTCGTTATAAAACGTATACCCGTGATAGTATTTTTCTCGTACAAAAATAACTAGAACAAATTAAATTACTCATAAAAAATAAAAAAATAATTAAATAATTTATATTATATATGATAATAATAAAACATTTTATAAAAAAAACAGATTCAATAAATATAAGTATATATATAACATGTACTTATATTTATTGAATCTGTTTTTTAATAAAATGTTTTATAAGCTTAGAAAACTTGACTTTGACGTAACTAGCAAATTTTATTTAATTATTTCACGACGGTTTGACGTAATAAAATGTTTTATTATTATTATATAAAATATAAGTTTAAATTCTTTAATTAATTTTTAATCTTTTATGATTTTTAATTTACTCTAATTATTTTTGTACGAGAAAAATACTATCATGGGTATACGTTTTATAATTAATTTAATATATTTGTGTTTAAAAATTATATTTGACCTTTAATTTTAATTTTTATTTTATTAAAATTAATAATTAACATATATACTTAATTGCGAATTATATGGATGAAAAAAATCCCCATTATGTGTGTAAGAGATTTCGGAACTCTTTGCTATAAAATAATTAAAATTAAAAGTCAAATATAATTTTTGAACACTTTTATATTATTAAGAATATATAATTCGGTTCCCGAAATATATTAATTCATTATAAAACGTATACGTGATATTATTTTTCTCATATAAAAATGACTAGAATAAATTAAATTAATTATTAAAAAACTAAAAAGTAATTAAACGACTTAGACTTAGATGATAATAATAATGAAACATTTTATTAAAAAAAGATTCAATAACTAGTAGGTCAGGTTATAATTTTTTATTTATTTATTTATAACATTATGAGCTATTAAGCTCATCATCTCGTTCGCTCTCTGTCTTGCTTTCATTCGGCAAGTCACAAACGATATATGATACTCGTATGTTCCTACTTCAACTCTCGAGAATCTGAAACAAACGAAACTCGTGTCCAATATACAGGGTGTCCGGTAACTAACAGACCAATGATTACAAATGGATTCTTTGGTCAATTTGGGAACGATTTTTCCTCAGCGAAAATGTCGAAAAAGGTCATCATTTTTTACAACTTTCCAATCTTTGTCATTATGTATCTTTATAACTAAGCCTTAAATTAAAATTTTATTATAGTAAACTCTACCTGAAATTAACTGAAGAATGTAATTATGTTAGACTTTTAACTCCAAAACGTTTAGTTTTCAAAAAACCTATTTTTTTCAATCGCTTATAACTCGAAAATTATTGACTTCTCAACATTTTTGCTAAGGAAAAATCGTCTCCAAATTGGCCAGAGAATCCGCCCTTAATCATTGGTCCGTTAGTTACCGGACACCCTGTATATATTATATAAAAGTGTATAGCACGTCAGAAGCTTGTGAGCTTACAGCGATAAGTAAAAACAATTGCGTATCTATTTCATTGCGTTTATCTGTTTAAACGCGCGCTTTAATTTTTCCAACGTTTTTGCCTGTTTATATTTTAAAGGTCCTCTCTTCTAAAAATCTTGTTTTAAAGATCCTCTCCGCGAGCAAAATTCGAAAACATAAATTATTTAATATTTTTACTTTATTATTTGTAAATCCTCGGTAATTTCAAAATTTTTCTATTTGAAAATTATTAATTTTCTATTGCCAATTAATTTTATCACAGACTTTACTCTTACTCCCATTGCACTTTCGTTTGCGGTTTTCAGTATACGATTTTTTATCGTAGTTACTGAAAATTATTATTGTGAATTATACTTGTGCAGTGATTTGAAGAATTTACAATTTCGTTGAAATTGTTGATTTTTCAAAAAAATTACGAGATTCGCGGAAATTGCGTGCTTTCTTGGCATTTTCCGTTCGCGGCAGGCGGTTTATTTTTGATTGTTGCAAGTGTTTTTTTTTTTTTTTTTTTTTAGATAATAATAATGTGAAATAAATCACGATATTTGACAGATGTGCATATATATAGAAATTGTAATAATAATAATATTATATCATAAAATTGTAAATTGTTTCAATTTTTTATAGACTGCGATAAAAGATTTTACATTTGGATAAGAAACTGCGGTAAGTAAAAATATAAAATTCTTGAAAACGTACCAAAATATTTGATAACGTAAAAAGGTGAACTTTGAAAAATAAGGAACTTAAAAATTGCACTAATAAATGGGCTATATGTGAGCCGTGCGCGGATGTAAGGTGTGTTATATCGAAATTTAATTAATAGAATTGAGAATTAATCCCAATTTTAAGTCTTACAAATGTCCAAGCTAATTTTTTGTACCTCGTGTACATTTTTGAAAGTTATATCGAAAAATTAAATTTCAATATGCGTCTTACATCTCACATTTCGCATACGGCTCACATATAGCCTATTTATCTCTTATACTTTATTTCAACCCTTATAGAAATTTATTACTAGTAACGCCAATTTATCACTTATTTCGAGTAATTAATCACTTTTATTTCGAATACTTAAATTACTGTATATTATAGTATTTTAAATACTCAAAATAAGTGATTAATTGGCGTAGTGATAAATTTCTACAAGAGAATAAGGAGCCTTTAAATTCTTAATGTAAAAAATTTCAAGTAATTTTCTTTAATAAAATTTAATTAAAAAATTTAATTAAAAAATTTTTGAACACTGTGTTATATCACATTTAAAATCGTGATTATTTCAATAAAAAAACATTTTATGTGTAAAAAATATATTTTTTATATTTAATAAATTTTATATATATATGCATATATGTAAAATATTCTCTCTCTCTCTCTCTCTCTCTCTCTCTCTCTCTCTCACACACACACACACACACACAACGGGGGCCAAATCTCTCAAATTGGTCTCATGATCAATTAGCCTGGATTCGCACCAGGGGCAAAGTCTGTTGGTAATGTCAAACGAATTTAGCCTGGACTTGCACCAGGGGCAAAGTCTTTTGGTCGAGTCTACGAAATTTAGCACGGACTCGAACCAGGGGCAAAGTCTTTTGGTTCAAGCAGAGAGAAGGATGAGAGTGGTCATCCCCTCGATTTAGCTGCAACCGGAATTCAAAGCGCCTCTATGTGCACAAAACGTGCACATTGAACTACGTAGCCATGTGCACGATGCTCCCGAGTGGTAACAGGCTATGTGCACGGTACGTGGTTCGATTCCGTGCTATGTGCACAGATGAGCGCCAGTAACACGTAGCTGTTAAAGGAGATGAGTTCGAGACCTCGCAGGGCCAATTTTTTTTTTTTTTTTTTTAGTACGACTATATTTGTCAATTTAATGAAATCCTTTTAATT